AAGGAGAGGAGAGGGCAAGAGACGGGTGGGGAGTAATGGGGGGAGGAGAGCATCGAGTGACAGCATGGAGAGAGCAGGTAGTAGCAAGTGGAGTCGAGATAAAGTCAGGATAAGCTGGGAGTGGGAAAGGGGGTCACGTTTTGAGGGGACATGAGATTACCCCATGAGAAGGGGAGCCAAATTAGATTGGGGGGGGGAAGGATGGAGTGAGTCAGAGACATAAAGGGACTGCATAAGGGAAGGAACAAGAAGAGGGGTAGAATAACAGGGTAAGAAGCAAAGGAGTTGGAGGGGGGAGAAGGGGAGGATGAGGAAGAGGTCAGGCTGAAGAAGAGGGCAGGTGGTGGCGAGCGCAAATTTGCACACAAAAGCCAGATGAAAATGGATAAAGTTGGGTCCCTCGGGACATCCGGTAAAATTGGAACAATACAGACAAGGGTAAATTAGCAAATGGCCCTGTGCAAGGATGACGCGCAGAAATTGAGAAAAAAAAACGGTCCAAATAATAAAGAACAGAAAAGAAAAAGAAGGGATAAAGTTGGAATGCGTCTACACTCTAGAGCCTTGAAGGCAAACCCAGCCCCAGGTCCCCAGGGGCACTTGGGCTCTTTCTAGCATTTCTATACCTGCTTGCCAGACACAAGCACATGCACTACATGCACTGCTGGCCGACGGGCCCCTCGCAGAATAGATGCTGCCTGAGTTGTATTTGGGACCTTGGTTTGAAAAAAAATGAACATCGAAAAAAAGTGAAGGGAAAATATGTTGAGGCCCTTGAGGGTGGTTGACATTGGATCGGAGTGAGGAGGAGATGGATTGTGGGTAAAGACCAAGTAGATCACAGTCAAAAGACTCGAAACACAGCTTATGGACATAGGCCAGAATAGGTGCTCTCTCTCTCTCTCTGTGGGGAAACCCTCAACCTGCAGGATGTGTGTGGAAGAGTGAAAGGAGGAGAGGCGAAGAGGGGGATTACACACCATCGCTGGCTGCGCCAAAGTCGGGAGCATCATCTTTGAACATGATTTTCACAAGCTCCTCTGCATACCTGCTCGTCATGTCCCCACAAGCACAAGAGCAAAAACACACGGGCAGATTTAAGAAAAAAAGGGAAAAGAACAGGTGAAGAAATTATCAACACACCTGGGATGAGGGAAACACAACATAAAAAAAAAAAAGCAAAATACAAAAACAGTAAGTACACTAAGCCTAGTGAAAATATGACCCAAAAAAACAAACAAACAACTGGGCTTCCACGGAATTTGGACATGCCAACTCAGGAGCTTTAGACTTGTCACTGTAAAACTCTAGAGTCTAAACGGAATCATGCCAATAAGATTACAAAATAACAAAAAGTACCAAGTGACAAAGATTAAATTCAAAAAATTCAAAAAATTCAAAAAATTCAAAAAATTCAAAAAATTCAAAAAATTCAAAAAATTCAAAAAATTCAAAAAATCGTTGTTCAACTGCTGGTAGTGTATCGGACCACCATCACAACGCAAGTTTTTTTTTTTTTCCCCCCCCCCTCATCTGTTGTTCGTCCAATGCCCTCACTGAGGGCACAGTCACACCAGTGCCTCATAGACTATATCTGATATCTATCAGGGAAGCTTGGGACCCAGGCTCGGGAAAACTTGGTGCGCAGTGAAATTCAGGTTCGGCAAAAACAGGAAGGGAGTTAGTTGTGATTTAATTTCATTTAAAATTTAAAAAAGAAATATGAGAGTAAACAATCTCAGTTTCGGCAAAAACAGGAAGGGAGGTAGTTGTGATTTAATTTCATTTAAATTTTAAAAAAGAAATATGAGAGTAAACAATCTCAGTCAGGACTGAAAGAGAAAAAAAACACAGCACCAACGGACTTAGCCCATAAAGTGTGGAAATTCAAAATTCAAAGTACAGACCAAGTTTGAATCCAGATGCAATCAGATGAACAGAATAAAATAGTTCTGAATTATACCCCCAGGGGTGGTTACTTCAATTATGTCATCTCAAGGCCATATCCCCTTCATATATATATCGTCACAAACAGAAAATATATATATCGTCAAATAGAACTGCCCGGTAAACCGTAGGCAGAGAGGGAGAAGGGAGAAGAGGACAACAAACGAGGGGCTGTGACAAACTGTTTCGTCTGAGTTTCACCGACTCATCAGGAGGCTGAACCCTCAACAGTCTGCAGAATCNAAAGTAGATTATCACTCACCCACACCAGATGGAAAACTCTACAGACTGTCGGTTCACACCCCATCACAAGCCAGCAAAACACCCACGAAACAAAGAAAGGTCTGTCACAGCCAAAAAATACACTCCAGACACGCCGCTGGAACTAGAGGCACAGGATGGCCGCGTAGTGACGGCCCCGACCACTGCCACTCGACCTGGCCGGAGAAAACCGTAGCAGGAAGCTAGCGAAGTCGTAGTATATATCGTCAAATAGAACTGCCCGGTAAACCGTAGGCAGAGAGGGAGAAGAGGACAACAAAATATATCGTCACAAACAGAACTGCATGGTAAACCGTAGGCAGAGAGAGAGAAGAGGACAACAGATATATATATATATATATATATATAAACAGAGCTGCCCAGTAAACCGTAGGCAGAGGGACAACAGGGAGAAGAGGACGACAAACAAGGAGCTGTGGCAAACTGTTTCGTCCGAGTTTCACCGACTCATCAGGAGGCTGAACCATCCACGGTCTGCACAGTTCCCTAACTGATGATACAGCAAGTGATAATCCACCTTAACCCCGGCTGTGGTTAAGCATCAACGACTGCCCGACAACTGATACCCTGAGGTGGGCACCAACCACTACCTGTGGTATATATCGTCACAAACAGAACTGCCCGGTAAACCGTAGGCAGGTATATATATAATAAAAATAAAATAATAGATAAAATAATAAATAAAATTCATTAAAAAAAAATAAAAAAACCAGAACAATAAGAGAAAAGAAAAGAAAAGAAAAAACACAGTAGAAGCAAAGAGCAAATTAAATTAGGAAGACAGTAGAAGAAATCTATCACCAACATTAGAAGCAGCAAATAACATCCGGAACAAAGCAAGCCACAGTCAAATTCAGAACATCCATTAAAAAAATAAAAATGAAATATAAAAAAGCGGCATTATAAACTGATGCTTGATTAGCACGGCCCCTTGTACAAGGGGTAAAGTTGCAGAGCAAAGAGTCCCGACCTCGGGAAATGCCAACTTACGTCAGATTGGGATCTGGATGGCCGCCGCCGAAATCTTCCAAGGGTGTGTCATGCATAAGTGACGTCTGCAAAAGGACCAAACACAATGCACTTTATTTTTTTGGGAGAGTCTGAACGCATAGATATGTGGAAAACATGTAGCGAAATTGCGAACGGTGACATTGAGGAAAGAATATAGCTTATAGCCTTATAGTGTGTAAACCACAACTACTTTTCCCTCTGTTGGGAAAACGGGAAAACAATAAAACATTCTACACTCCTAAGAAATCGGGGGCCGGGCCCGACGATGACCGCCGTTGATAAATCTCATCTGTGGTCATCACCCGCACACCCGGACCTGGAGGCCAAGTACAAGGGGCCGTGCTAATCAAGCATAAGTTAAATTCCGTTTTTTTAACTTTTTTTTAATTTCATTTTCATATTTTTAATGACCGCCAGCGGCCATTATATTTTTAATCACACATTACTGGGCGCCAAGATTTTCTGGACCACCAGCGGCGCATTTTCTTTCTTTCTTTGGATGGTGCCGCCAGCCATTACGGTCCGGTAGGCCGAGCCTCGGAAATCTTTCGTAGGCAACGCGTTGCATTTTCAGCAAGGCCGGGGCCGTGTGCTAGCGGTTTGATGCCTGCGTGTGTGTGTGCCGTCGCAGCTTCCTCGGTATTGCACAACTTTCACAAAAGCCTCTGTAATGTGTGCATCCTTCTCATCCTCCTCATCCTTCTCGTCCTTCTCAGCCTTCGTGCCGTGCCTTTCTGCAGCATAAATTTCCAAGTTCCTACAAACTTCAAATCCTTTTGTACTTCACCATAATGTAATCACATCCGTAATGTCAAACTTCGTGCTGTCATTGGTTCGATGACACAATCAAAAACTAGCACTGAGCATGTGCACATTTTTCAAATTGATGCTCTCTCTCTCTCTCTCTCTCTCTCTCTCTCTCTCTCTCTCTCTCTCTCTCTCTCTCTCTCTCTCCCTTCTGTCTCTCTCTGTCTCAGAGACACCTCCCGCCTAGGGGGAATTTAAATTGGATCTTTGGACTTCCAAGTTTTCGAAATCATGGTCTTCTCTCTCTCTGTCTCTCTCTCTCCCTCTGTCTCTCTCTCTCGCGCGCGTCGACGCGCGCACAAGAGAGAGAGAGAGAGAGAGAGAGAGAGAGAGAGAGAGAGAGAGAGAGAGAGAGAGAGAGAGAGAGCATGCTGCAGAGATAGGCTGCTCATGATCTCCCGCATCCATGCAGCAGACATCAAACATAGACAGGGAAAGGAAAGGACAGCAGAGGTTGTAAGCATGCAAATCCTAATCATCACGGGCAGCTCGTCTCTTCCTCTCCCAACTTCTTTGACTTTCAAACATCTCTGCAGAGATTCAGCTGTGTATATGATGATGGGGCTAACAGGGAGGAAGTCATAACGTCGGGGGAGAGAGAGAAAGAGGAGGTGATAACGAAGGCAACACAAAGAGGAAAACAGGAACACATGGTGAGATAAGATAGGATTAATTGTTTTTTCAGTATACTAACCTCTGATGCACCAAGCGCATCAACAATGATTGGCCTTGCATAAGCGCCAGTGACTGCCCACATGGCGTCAAATACGAGCCTGCAATCCACAGAATCCAAAACAAGATACGTTCATTATTACGATGCAAAAAACTGAAAATTGAAACTCTAACATACTCAAAAAAAAAAAAAAAAAAAAAAAAAAAAAAAAAAAAAAAAAAACGGTACGCTGGCCTGCCGCCAGTCATTGCGCACCAGTTGCCTTTCAACGACGGCCCGATCAGCCA